TATGGTGCTCGAAACGGACACTAAAATCATAAGCATTTGTAACAGCAGACATCATGGCAGTTAGGTATATTTTATCAGTAAGAATCAGAAACACTGTTTTAGGAAGGCAATATTACTGTCTGTGTCATCACCATTACAACGAAAGCAAAGCAAACAGGACCAATACAGAATGTCGGGCTGTGTTGGCATAATTTTAGTTGTTTAGTGACACATAGGGTAGAAAATGGAACAGAGGCTACGGCAGCCTTGCTTTACACTAGAGACAAGGTCAGTCATCCGAGGTTACTAACTCAGCTGCACCTTACTTCGAATACTACAATGCAGGTATTCAAATTACTCAAGCAGCTGAACATTCCCAACACCAGCCCCAAGGCATCGCGGTTCACCGTGCCAAATGCCCCCGTGAAATCGATGCACAGTGGGTAAAATGACTGCTTTCACTCACGGCGTTTCTCCTGTAATTGATGAGCTCCGAATACCAACTGTTTCTTGCTGCTGCCCTAACGGAATACTCACTTCTGGTCATTCATGTTTGGTTCAGTGATCTGAGTAACGAGGCGAATGAACAGGATTCCAACTACCGCCGTCCAAACTTAAATTTGCAAATTAATGCAGAGAAATTTATTGGAGCACTGCCTACTGTCTTTGTCTTTGTCATTGGAAGCGAAAAGGCATCTTCAAGCTTAGCTGGAACCTGTTCTTCAAACTGTGTAGATACAAACAGCGCATTTAGGATTACCAACCCGCTGTTTTTCGGCGCGTCCGTCCGGTTTTTTGTTGGCTCCGGCTCACTTGCCGTCTTGTAGTTACACAAGTGTTCTTTGCTTCTCTTGGGGTGTTCTGATGTGGGCAAGACAGTACAACGTATCCAATCAACTTAGGAACGGTTGTTCAAGGGTCCGTCGAAGTGATTGCGCCAGGTCTGTACTATGTCTGCAGTCGGTGTGCAGGCTCCACCTGAAGTAGCATTGAGCAGTCTCCTCAGCGGAGGTAAATTGGATTCATCCATCACCTTCATGGTGCAATAGTACCCCTTTTGTTGGCAGAGTTCGGCGTACCATTTCATCTGCTTTCACTTGTCCATCCACCATACATTCTTGATGCAACGGAGATCCCAAGTCAAACATCTATGCAATTGACGAAAAGTACTCGTCTTCTCTGAGTCACGGGAGCCCTCATCATAGAATGCAAAAGCTGCATTATTCGCAGACGCCAATGCGGTTATCGTTGAATTGCTGTTAGTAAAACAATCGGGTCGGTTTCAGGTTACGCACCCAACTGTTTCATCGAGCGCAACGGTCACTTATTATTAGATGTGATGCCACGTGTCGTCGACTAAAATGATGGACTCGATACTCCAAGACTGTTAGCCATTCCATTATCCAGTTCTTTCCTCTTCTCAGCTGCAGTTGAGAAACGAACATGAAATCTCCGGCGATTCACGGCAAAAGCTACATTTGTGAAAATATACAACTGGGTCCGCACTACACGTGTAATGCGCAATTCAGGCATTTCACGCTGACGAACTTTGACATAGTCGAGCAGGTAAACGCGACCACTCCGTGGGTGCGTCCAAGTAGCAATGTCGCTAGCACACAGTGAGAAGTGTGTTCTTGATCTTCAGACCGTGGGTAGCACGCAGTGGGTACTGACACTCACCGTAATCATTGGCTGAGCCATGCAGGCCGAATAGGATTGTCCACACTGATTCATCACTCCCGACGCGCACACTGAAATCAGACAGTAAGAATAGTCGAGCGCTCCTTGGCGCCAATCGTAACATGGAGGATAACTGAGTAAAGACCTGAAGCTTCTTGCTATTAGAATAACACATGGTGGGACCATACGTGCTAATAAAAATCGCAAACTTACTCCATTCTGGGCGTAGGCGAAGCGTCATCCAATTTGGACTGATGTGAGTCAACTCTTCTATCTGGTGGTTATTCGGACGTTCGAATAGTTCACATCCGACCCATCTTTCTGTGGCGTGCAGCAATCTTTCTCACCAGGCAAATAATGAACCCAGAATTTTCCTAGTGCGGCTTGCCTTGGTCAGTCAACCGAGTCTCACTGAGTGCGGCACTATCTATGCCGTAGCGACCGAATACCATGGCGATCAGGGCAACGCGTAGCTCGGGACTCGCATTCATTTTCCATTCCAGTAGTGTGTGCAGGTCTCATCGTCTGAGATTGATTGTTTTCCGCGGGCGCGTAAATTTGCTCCGGGCAATCGTTTGGTGAGTGAGTTCGCGTGTCGTATTGGTCAAAACAGGTAGAGTAAATCAAAGAAGAGAATTTTTAGGAGAAAGGGAATATGGAGTAATAAATACTTCAGCTGTAGTACGTTTTTGTTTATCTGCCCCACTGTAAGCATCAGAAAGGATACACATTACCCCGAACTGCGGAACAGCCGATGCAGTAAGCGGCTATCTGTAGTTATGTGATTCACGGTTTATGAGTACACCGACGTGCTCTCAGGTAGCGCACACCTGAACAAGAGAACGGTTCATGTCACCAGCCAACACCTTGCATATGAAGTATTCCCGAAGGTAACGAGTAAGGCGCCACAGAATGTGGCAGGATTTAACAACCTACAGCGTCAACATGTCATGAACTCATAATTTCAGACCCGAAATGAATGTACCGGAAGTAGAAGGGCATGCTCAGCGATATATATATATATATATATGTATACACTCATATACAATCATATAAACATTCATTTCGGGTCTGAAATTGTGACCTTAAATCAACGGGTCAAAGCACTCCATCTAGGGCTAGAATCAGAAGGCGAGTACACTTCGCCTCATGAATCTCTGTTCAGAAAACTAGAATAAATAAATAAATAAATAAATTGTATATGGCTCGACGATGCGAGAAGCGTTCCCAGAAGAGACGGATCAAATAATGGTTCAGCAGTTTCATATCATGGTATAATAAATTTTTAAAAAAATGTGAGCACAAAATGAAAATTTGTGTAGCGCGAAGCGGTCCAGAATATTTACATTCCTCTTGTTCTATCGTCTGACAAGTTTTTAGCAGTCACATGAGAGTTGATCGCACACGGGAAAAAAAAAGAATAAAGTGCTGCGGGCCAACAAAATATAACCACTTGTGCACTTGATCACATGCATTTTCAGGCACCATTAACTCCGTTCTCAAAAGCTTTATCTAAGGACTGTGCTGTTCGAAACATTATTCTCACATTTTGAACGGTTAAATAATCTTTTATCGAAAGCTTAAACAAACGCAATGTGCAACAAGTTCTGATAGCTCTTGGAAGTTTGTTCCAAAGCTTTGAGCAGTGTAGTAAGAAGAAACGCTCCCCAATTCGCGTATTGAACTTTGGAATCATGACCGTTGTCTCCTTATTTCGTAGCTCGTATCTAGTGTTAACGGCCATATGGACACAGTTAGCATAATTGTGCATGTGATGGTGAATTATTCTGTACAGGAAACACAAGTTCATCCTCATTATCCGTAGCCAAATTGGGTCAAGTCCAAGTTTTTCACTGCGCTCTCTGTAGGTCATCTTGGAGGAATATCCGCACAGCTTCTTTGTAAAGCGTCGCTGTACCCTCTCAAGAGCATGCTGGTCAGATTTCCGCAGATTCGACTGTAGTAGTGAGCAGTATTGCATGCCAGGTAACACATGTTTTGTAAAGCCAGATACGAGATTCTGTGAGTTGAAATTTTGACAGATATAGCCAATAGTCTTCATGGCTTTCGAAACTTGGAAGTCACAATGTTCCGAAAAGTTGAAGGTAGTGGAATACCGCACACCCAAGTCGCGAATCACTTTGCACTGTGATATAAACATGCCTTGTAATAATAGACTGTCTGGTGGAACTTCGCATTTGTACGACGGAATATTACACTTGTCCACGAAAAAGGACATTTGCCACAGTTTGCTCCAGGATTCAAGTGCCGATAGATCTTCCTGAATGTGGCCCAAGGCTGCGCGGGTATCTGCACGTTCTTGTGAGTAGACGATTTTAACGTCATCAGCAAACAGAAAAGTAGTACCATGTCTTATTCTATGAAATACATCGTTGACGTAGAGGAGAACAAGAAGTGGACCAAATACACTTCCCTGAATTACTCCACTGGTGACTGCTTTCGGTTTAGAGACACAGTCCCCAATACGCACCACCTGATGTCTGTCAGCTAGGTATGACGACAACCAAGAAAACATTGGTTCTCCAATACCTATTTCTTTCAGCTTGAGGAGTAGTCTTCGATGCGGCACTCTGTCGAATGCTTTTTGCATGTCTAAGAACAGGACAATAACACTGTTGCCTTTGTCTATGGCAGCCGTTGTGTGGTTTAAGAAGTCTGTCTGGCATGTCGCACAAGATCTGCCCTGCAGAAAACCATATTGTGAATTGTTGTTGACGTTTTTCTTATTCAAGAAAATAAGTAATTCATCTTTCACTATCCTTTCCATAATTCTAGATATTACAGGTGTGTGGCTGATGGGGCGATAGTTTTTAATTTCGTGAACGTTTTCATTCTTATGCCGCGGGATAACAACCGAAGTCTTCCAGTGCTTAGGATATACTGCACTGTTAAAAGAGAGCGTAAAAATGTTGAGCAATAGAAGAGGCAAGTCGCTCCCACCGCTTTTTAACAAACAAGGGGGAATTCCATCAGGTCCTGGGTAAGTCGAGGAAGACAAGCGGGAGACTTGACCGGAGATTTTTGCAATGGTGAATTCCACTGTGCATATACTTTCAGCAATGTGTGGTGTGACAAGCGCTGGTGTGGCTAGCGGTTCATCAACCATTGATTCAGCAAAATAGGCGCTGAAAGCCTCACAAATTTCACCCGGAGCATCAAGGTATGTGCCATCCGGCATAATGATAAAATTGATGGAATTACTGCGACGCCAACCTCTGGCACGAAACAGTTTGGGCAGTTCCATTGTTTTATTCGGGCCATTCAAAGCTTTATATTCTTCTAATATGAGATTGCGAACATTTAGATGCCCGAGTTCCTCGATGATCTTTGCCTGCTGCAGTATTAGCGCAAAGTCTGCTGTTAATGGGTCGGGCGAACCAGTGAGCAGATTAGAACACAATTAAAATAACACATCGGAAAAATATGTTAACGTTGGGTAAGAAGCAGCGAGCAGAGCTTATGTCTGCAACATTCGGTCAGGGAACATACGTGGATAAGCAATCTACAGTGTATTATGTTTCACTGTAAGCTGGACTAGTTGCAATTTGTTTATTAGCGTTAAGATGCGATGTAAATATTTGGATTGCACCTAGCGCTCTTCTCATGGGGATTGTCATCCAGCGTCAATATTCTAAACCACACCTTTCACACAATCATTTTGCACGCTTTTTCTCCGGAGCCTGAC